GCAGTTTTTCGTAAATTATGGATTTGGCTGTCATGAGCCTGCAGCGAAGATCGATTCAAAGTTTAAACACGGTCAAGAATAAGGAGATATGAAATCTTAAATAGAGTTCCGGGGTGAAGGAAGAATTTAGATTATATATTTGATTAAAACGTACCAGTTATGAAATTCTTTTGAAACCTTGTGGATTTACAATATCCCTTTATAGTGCCGATGAATCTTTGCAATTTAAGAAGAGTAGAAAATGCTACAAACTCCTCTACGACGAGGATTCTTTCCCCGCCTCAAAACAACTGGATTCAACGTAAACTTTACGGTCGCTGTATAATTCACATCGGTTCAAAAGAACACCGAGGGATGGTTATCGAAATTCCAAAATCTTCCTTCCGGTGCGAAACTGGCGAATTCGCGGAGGTTGTCATTGAACAGAAACGTAAACGATTCTGTTTCAACTCGAATAGTACCCAAATGGATGTCGGGATTGATTCTGGCAAGACACTAACCATTTTAATGACCTACGAGAAAGCCAAGAAAACGCCTACGGAAATCGTGATTCACAGTAAGGATTTTCAGCTATTATAAAAGATACTTTTAATTCATGAAATAAACTGTAAATGCTATGGCCCATAACGTAATCATCAGGTCCGGTATATATGAAAATCACTGCCATCTTCATAAACTGCATTAAATATTTTCACGAATAAATGTACTAAACAGACATCAGATTTAATTCAATTACCACGACCGCATCTCATTTGGGCAGCGAAGGCAGACGCGTCAGACAGTGCTTCCAACGTTTCCGATCCTGTGTCATAGTCTGAGCTTCGGCAGAAGTCAGCCGGAGGTTAGAAGAAACTCCTTCCATATATTTGCACTAGGGGGTTAATCTTGGCCGTCCCTTGGGCCTTCCGTCGCAAGAAACAGTTGCTTAGCCTCCTTTCTGGAGACATTCGCAACACGTCCCAAACTATCGCAACTGTGATTCCTCAATTTGAAGAAGCAGCGGTTGTACACCAAGGTTCTCCCAGATGTCAGTATTCCGGACCATGTCGAGACGTATAAGGCCAATGACTCGTCTAAGAAGGCCCATCTCAGCAGGTTGTATCTGGATTCGAAGTTTTTCAGTGATGGTCTACGATTCAAAGATCGACTTGAACACCAAGAGCTTAACTGACCTCAGACTGAGCTCTTCTTTAGTCACAGTGGGTGGGGCTAGTTCATCCAGAACGCCACCGGCTACTCCACTTCACGGGTCGATCTCTTCCTCCAATTTTCCATCACTAGTAAATACAATTCCAGGGTGCTTGATCTTCTCTACCTGCTCCACTTCCTACGTAATTCGTCGTACTCGGTTGCGAACGTTTTTAGGGAGCACTGAAGATCAGTTTCAGAAGATGCCAATAAAACAAAGTCATCTGCAAAGAGCAACCTTCTCGTCTGGTCATCTCATATGCTTGTACATTGTGCATCACTATTCAGTCCATGTACAACACAACTAGGAGAGGGGACCAAACACAGCCTTGGCGGAGACCAGTGACAGCCTGAAAGAATCTCGACTTAACTCAACACCTGCTATCAACGTATAGTGATTAGACGGCCAGTAACAACTGACACCATCGATACTACATGTTTGTAGGTACATCCATAGATTGTAACGCGCGATCCGGCCATAAGTTTTCTGTAGGTTAACAATGCTCATATAAATCAGGTGAACGAACTGTCAGATTTCTCAACAGCCTGACAAAAGGCGAATATCTGATGTCAGATGAGCCTCTTTCAGATCGGAAGCCACAGTGTTGCTCTTGTATTTTAAAGTCACTTATTTCGCGTCACCTCCTTTTTCGCACCTTTACGTTGACTTTGCTCGGTAGGCTCAATAAGGCAATACCCCCATAATTTTAGCACTTCTTATGGTCTCCCTTACTAACGGCGGTAAGAACAATCCCGTTTTCCGGTCCGCTGGTGTCTTCCCCGTAGACATTGCAGTTTTATTGCTCTGTTCGCCTAATTCCATAAGAATTTCAGAAGGGATTTCATCAATTCTAGAAACCTCTCCATTTTTCAAGCTTTTCAGTAGTTTCAGTGATTTTATCAACAAAAATACTACCAGTATCCGTTCCCTACTGTTTATCAAACGAGGTTTCCTGCATTTTCTCAGGATTTTTTAAAAGTATCCTTTTTATCGTGGAAGTATGTTTCCATCCTCAGAAAAAGAACCTCCTGGCTTCTCCTCCAGGACTCTCAGACTCCCTTCAATTTTATCTCAGAAGGGGCAACGCTCTGCTAGAATACCTTGTTTGCTATTTGGAAATTTGATTCCAGCATCCCACCGAAATATCCTGATGAGTCAGCTTTTTTACAGTCTTTCGATGCGTAGGTGGTGGGTACGGAGACTCAGACTTTGAGTAGGGCCCTGAAAGGAATTCCACATCTTCGTTTTGGCCCCCATACCAAAGTTGAGCAGATCGGTGATGCGGACTAGTTGACGGTCTTTCATAATCTATGTACCATGGCCATAGAGGCCCGTTTGGTATTGAGTAGGAGGGAACGAATTTCTTTGCTGGTGATCTTCAGGAGATTTTGGATTTTAGTATTGTTTGACCACCAGCTGCCTCGTGTCCCGATGACAAACGGCCACACCTCCAAGTTCCCTTACCGATTTCATTGGCGCCCTGATCGTACTTCTTCATCTTCTCTTCTGCTGCCTTACGTAGCGCTCCCCCTCCATCAAAAGTGACTGTTACGTCGATGAGGACAATACTCCCGTCCTCTCTAGTTACGATCAAGATTTCGGTCAGACAGGCATAGATTCTGCTCTCTAAGGACCTGAAGTCCTCCCTCAACGGCCTTTCTTTCTAAGAAGTCTACGATCCTGTCATGAAGGGAGATCCTAAGTTGGTGGGTCTTGGAGCAGGTTTGGAAAATATGACTGATGGATTCTGCGGAATTACATCCAAACCTGCAGCTATTATCCTGGTGTGGTCTCCCGATGTTGGCAGTGTGACGACAGGCCATGGTATTGGGCCGGAGCTTAATTGCTTCTATCAGATCCTTTCCTTGAAACCGTCGTGTCTGTCCAACTAACCAAAAGTTATGATCTGATCGACCGATAAAATTCTCATGCCCGTAACCCTGATATGACCCCGCAAATTCCAGATGATGATTCCTCGTTTTCCTGATCACACTTCTTAATCTCCTTCTGGATATAGGGCGTGAGAACTAAGGCGGCCACTAACGAATCATCGGTGGTTTCGGCCCGATTGAAGATGTTATACCTAGTTACCAGTTCATTTAGATCTGGAATACCTAGAGCCCCGTCCCTAAGGGGCATATTGATAAAGACTGAACTCAAAACGGTCGGAAGATGGAGAAACTTCTTAAAAGACCGTCTGATGGCCTTGTTCAGCCCAGTTAAAACCCTATGATGGAGTGAGACATGGGTGAGCTGATAGTAGAACCTGGGTAGAAGGAAGGACCTGAGTAGAAACAATTTTTGCCCGGACTTTAGGGGCGCCCTCTCCAGATGGTACAAGTCCCCCTCGATCTCTTTAAGCGGGTAGGCCGGTCTCAGCGATGGCTTAAGGTGGATACCAGAGTACTTGATGACTTCGCCAGACGTCACCAGGGGAAGTGGTTCACCATTACCGGATGGTCCCCAGTTACTTGGATTTTATGTTGCTTAGCCCTTCCTACTAGATGGAGACATCTGCATTTCCCAATATTTAACTCAAGTGACCTCCTTTTAGGGAAACTGGTGACGTGATCAAGTATTGAACGCATCTGATGGTGGTTATCTGCGAACAATACAAGATCGTCAGCATATGCCGAGGCATTAATCTTACAACCTTCTAATTCATACCCAGGCATACGCTCAAGCTGGTCT